TAATTTATCTTCTTTTAATATGTTACATTATTTCAAAAATTCATATATACAGTTTCATTTTTTAAAAGTATGTACTATACTTAAGAAAGATCTCTCAAATGATGTTGAATTTTAATGATGGCTGTTACATTTTTCAGTCAGTTGTACACTTCTATCAGAAGCAAAAATGTTTTATTTACTACATTCCACCCTTTTGTAGTTCTTTGAATACTGTATATATATTAATAAAAACAATTTGAAGGACCAAAGTCCATAGCTATCCTATAACAGTTAATATGCATGTATGATACAAGCTCTTGATCATCCAAGGTGACCTTGGTGTATATTACTTTGAATAATCAGTCTATCATATAAAAAAAACTGAAATTTATTAATTCTTGAAATTATTCTTAGCATAAAGAATATCAAAATTTTCTCAGTATCTTGCACAGAAGATCACCCACCCTGTGAAATTCCTAAACAAATATGAAGTTAACTGAATAATATTACTACAAACTGAACATAAATTTCAGAAGTTTTCCCCACCAAAATATACTGAGGAATGGGTACTTGCCATTTTATTTACCATGTTCACATTCTAGGCGCCTAAATAAATGTAATGAATTAATAGAAAAATCAAATTAAAATTCAATTCAAATTTACATGGACTAGATTTTTGAACTATTTGAAATTCAATTCTGTTGTAAAATATATTAACATTTAATTCTTATATTCTTTGGCTAATTCCATTTTTTAAAAATTTAGAAATGACTACAGATTAAGACAACTCTGACCAAATGAAATTTAATAACGTCAATAAAATGTAACAAGTACAATTCAAATGAAATAGAATTTAAAAATTCTGAAAATCATTAGAGATTGAGGGAATGGAATTTGCCTAATTTAAGTTTAATTAATTAAATACATTCCATTTATTTCTGAGAAACATTTTTCTTTGTTAAGACTAAAAATTAAAAAAAGGAGAGTAGGCAGCAATGAATTATTCTTCAATATCAAAATGTCCTAATTTCCATACTGGCTTTAGTTATCTATTAAATGAAAGTCCACAGGAGACATTCAGATAAATTTCTAAAATTACTACACTCAAATTCCGGATTACAGATCATCAATTTAAATCTGGTAAGATGGCATGAAGAAAACATAAAATTAAAAATATGAAAACTTAATTTATGAATTAAAGAGCAATTATGATCTAAAGGGTATTAAAATATACAATAAAAATTATTTATTTGTTTACTTTATTAAACATTTCTTTCAACGCGCACATGCGTAAAGAATACATTACGCATAGTCGAAATTAGAAAATTGCAATCAGAAAACTATTTGATGTGTATCCGTAATATAATGACGAGAAATTTGATTTAAATCATATCAAAAACGGAGTAGTACATTGAGATGAAATACTACATTTAGTAAGGAATTATAAGCCGAATAAAATAAAAACATCTGCCCTGAATATAAGGATAGTGCTGACAGATCAATTCTTAAATGTTTATGCCTTTAAAATAAAGATTTAGAACTAAGATTTTTGACAATTTTATGTCTTATGTTTGCCAATAAAGTGCACTTATGAGATTTCGCCAGCGAAACAGAAAAGTAATACTGATTTATACAGAAATATTTTTATGCCTTTATTTTTTAAATTGCTTCCAAATGAATTCGTTCTTAAATTATATCCAAAAAATTAAAGATTAAATTTGCGATTTAAAAGGTCTACTAGATTATTTCGAGAAAATGCACAGCTTATGTTAATTATAATTCTGAAGACAAATTCTTGTAATTAGAAAAGCCACTACCTTTCAAATTGAAACCTTTTCCCGACTGCAATATTTTAAGTTTAGAAATGAAAAGGCAGATGTTATTTATGTCTGGATATAAGGTACAGAGTTAAAAACTGCAAGCAAAAAGTAAAATTAGCTTCTATAATTAACAAACATTCGAAAGTGAATTGTTGGGCATTAAAATAGCACAAACAAGAACTAATTATCATACTTATTCAAAAAAAGGTACAAAGAGCAACTTCTATATAGACTAAATAAAAATAATATTCACAGGAAAAGTGCACAGCAAAAATGGATGAGAAAAATACACATGTAAGAATAAATTTTCAAACTGATACATAATCAAAAGAACTGCATGATGAACAGCAGCAACGAACTAGCTACACACAGAAATGGCATTTTTTTGAATCATTAAATTTGGCACATAATCAGATAAAATAAAAATTTTCCACACGTAAAAGGCAGAATTTTATCCTAGAATATAATAAAAAATTCAGTAATTAAGATCAGAAAATCTTTTACCAATCTGTTAGGCCAAGAACTTACCCGCATTAGTTTTAATGAATATTCTCAACAAATCGCATCTCAATCTGTCAAATAAACTGTGTTAATATGCAAAACAAGATATTAAATAATACAAACAAGAATTGACATATTTATTCAAAAGAGGCATAAAGAAGAAACAATTTTTACAAAACTAAGTAAAAACGGCACATTTACTTGAAATTTTCTCAAAAATTTACCACCACCAATAAAAGAGAGACATTGAGGGAAAAAAAATAAAAAAAAGAATTAATTTTTATATCTACTCAAAAAAAAAAAAAAAAAAAAAATGCAGAATGAGCAGCAGCAACACAAAACAAAGTAGACAATTAAAAATAGTAATTTTAATGAATCGATCATTAATAATGAAATTCTGGGCATATACCACATAATCAGAGATAAAGTACAAATTTTCATACATAAACAGCAGATTTTATCCTACAATATGATTCAGTAATTAAGAGCAGGTAATATTTTACCAATTTGCTAGGCCAAGATCTTACCATCATTGGTTCTAATGCATTTTTCAACAAACAGCATTACACATCTGTCAAATAAACTGCATTAATCTGCAAAAACAACACATTAAAATAATACAACTAATTAACATATTGGCTCAAAAAAGGCATAACGAAGAGCAACTTCTACACAAATTCAGTAAAAATGGCACATTTACTTGAAATATCCTCAATCAAAAGTTTACTAGTAAAGCTTTTACATGTGTTAGAATTTTCGTGGTTACTTAAAAAAAATGGAAACAGTAATCTCTACACGACCTAAATGAAAATGGCGCATTTATCTAAAAACACGGTAATCGGCCAGAAATCTACCAGCACATAAAACAGAAAATGAGCATGAAAAAATATACGCATGCAAAAATTACTTTTCAATATTTAATAATAAATATAAGATATAAAGCAAACACTTACCAGAGAAATAGAAAAACCTTGGTTATTTGACGAATAACCTGAAATTTGCCATTTGCCATTGCGCACATCTAAAAACAAACAACTTCAAATTAATCAAGCAAAATGTGTAAATTTGGAAAAACGTATTAAAAATATTAAAAATTTATGGGAGAATTTTAGCATACTTACGGATCAAAAACAGACCACTCTTCAACCACAGTTCCAGAAATAAGAATGAGCCGATGACGCCAAATTACTTGGCGAGAAAGTTATTAGTAGATCTTCATGCAACCCAGAGAATCTCGTAACTCCTCCCATTTTTTCTCGTGAAGATAACCTGTCAACAACGAATTCCTAATACATCAACATCCAAATTTGGTGCATCTTTTGGTGAAGATTCTTTGTCTTCGTGCCCGTAAGATACTTTTGAATACTGGTGAAAAAAAAGTAAAGAAAGACACTACCGATTACATACTTTTTTGAACAGTAAAAATTCTAAAAAATAAAAGTACTGAAAAGGTAGTTATTGTTATTGAACGTAGATTAATTGACTAGTCAAGAGGAACAAACCAATCCACCATAATAACCAAATAAAACCAACAATAACCAAATTAAGTGAAAGTGTTTCGTCTTTTTTCCGAGAAAGGATTTAACATGGTGGCATTAAGGATAAAATTAGTAATTTTGAGAGAGTTCAATCATATGTTACGAGAAAAACTTTACGAAAAAGAACACAGAACGAGTAACATTTTTTGTAGTGATTAACAAGTCAGGATTTAGACTTTATATTATACCGAACTATTGCGAAAAGCAACGTTGCCGGTTCGTGAATTCAAGCCCTAGGGCACATGACATGCAGAATTCTGGACGTGGAGACCATCTCTGAAGAGAAAACGGAGTAAAGGAAAAGGAGAGAAGTACCAAAAAGGAACAAGGCCGAAGAATCTGACAAGTTATCCGTCAACAGTTACGTGTGTATAAGTCACGGAGATAAGCTCTTAAAAAGATTGCCCTTTCAGAAATAGCCAGTAAATAATTTCCTAAGCTGACTAATTCAGAAGAAAAAACTGCAGAATATAAAGTTAAATGAACTGTCAAGAAACCTGCACAGTTATTAAACGAAGCGGTTAATTGTATCTTTCAGGAGAAAATTCAGAACTTACTAGAAAATATGTAATCTGTTAACATCACAAAATAAATACGTTTTATTAATATCACAAATGAAGTCTTATCGTATAACTTTCATGTATCAATGTGCAAATACATGCTATGATCAAAGCCATTGCTTTTCTGGAAAACTTTCAGTGAAGTTTGGTTGTCCAGTGCTTCTATAGTAAACAAACCAGTTTTCACTTTTAACTGTTTGGCATTTACGCTAAGCAGGTATAAAATTGCCCTAGTTTTGGGGTGTAACGAAAGTTTAATAATCATTTGTTTGAAATTCCTAAAACTTTGATTAATAATTACTATACTGCGAAACAAATCGAGCAGGAATGGGACTGACAAAATTCTTTTTATTAGGGTGGAAGAAAAGCTTAAAATTCACGTGATGAAATTTTGCGGAAGTGTCATAAGTTTTAAAATTATATCGATTTTTACGTTCATATTGAATTTATTCGAAGTGAGTACATCATATAACCGTACATTTTCTTTTTTAGGTAGTTATTTCTTAAAATTTTATACATGTTGATATAGACTGGGAAATAAAGTTTCAAGGCCACTGCTATACGTTTGATGTCATTGGATCAGATGGGGTAAAATTGTACTCTTCAGCAGTAAATGCAAAATTTTTCAGAACTGATTATTTTCTTTACCTTTGTGTTCGCAGTTTATGTTTTCGAATGGATCTTTCACAAGTTTTAATGTTCGAATAATAATTGCATATCGTATCCTATAGTATTGAATATTTTGTACCCGAGTGCTACAACTTAAATCGGAAAATTGAATTAAAGATGTGTTATGCTTGGGTAATGTAATAAAGCAATTTATTTTTATTGAAAAATTTTGCCATTATAAATGAGTAGAAATTGATCCTTTCTAAGTACTTGACATTTTAATACATCTTTAATTGATAGTAGAATTTTCAAATTGCTTCATTTCTCCTGTATTGAGATTTTTTTGCTGTTAGGCTTGATTTTTAAGTGCAAAACAAGGTATTTAATATCTTTAAAAATGAAGTAAGAATTGATTCGACATGTTTAAAATAGTGAAATAACGTTATCAAACAATACATGTTTGTAGTGTCTTTTTCAATTTGGCTGTCAACTGGAACTCTGGAAGAGTTGGAGCAGGCTTTAGTTTTAAGTATGTTGAATTTAAACTTTTATTTTTATAATTCTTGTAGATACAAAGCTTATGAACATTTTTGAAAATGATAAATTTGAAAAGTTTTTATATCTATTTTTTTTACTTCTTTTCTGCATATGTTTTAACTACTTTGGGAAAAGTGCAGAATTGCCCACTGCTTGGCGTGTTTTTAAGAATTGCATATACTCGGTGTCCATGTACACATCGACCTATTTTTACTTAAAAAAAATCCCAGAATTGCACAAAAATGGCATAGCACACTCCCTTTATCCATGTTCACATTGACCTATTTTTACTTTAAAAATCAACGAAAATTGACAAAAATCCAATTCTTTTTACTCTTGTAAAAAGTGCCAAACAAATAAGTAGGAGATTCTGCACTTTAGCCCTACTTTTAATGTTTACAATTTAAAAATTACTTTCAATGTAAACAAAAAGTTAAAATTTTTAGGATGATTTTTATCGATAAACAATTGGAGAATTTAGCTTTATCCCATGCATAATGTAAATATAGATCGCCCGGTGGCGAAGTGGCTAGTGCATTGCGCAGCTGCACCACAGGTCCTGGGTTCGATCCCTGGGGTGGGCAAGGTTGACTCAGCCTTTCATCCTTTGAACGGGTCGATAAAATCAGTACCAAGTTCGCTTGGGGACTAAACACCAGGGGTCCTGCGACAAGCTGACCACTTTCCCAGGGCATATGCTGATGCACTCCAGGGCCCCAAGATCAAGAAAGATTTCAGCACACTGCAGGCCATGGCTTACTAGGGCTGTTGTACCACAGAGTTTAGTTTATGTAAATATGAGCCACTTAGAAAATCCTCCATAAAGGCTTATGTTCATTAGGCATATGACTCTGAAATATTGTTGTCTTAATCAAATAACTGCAGTCAGACAGCTTTTTATATTTAGTGAGTAATTTCTTCCAAGTAATTTATCATTTCTGAATGTATTGTCCATTAAATTATATCATTTAAAACATTTTTGTTGCTGAAAAAAACAAGACATGTGACTTAAGCAAGTAATTTGAGCAAAAATTCCAAAGTGTGAAGCTCCAAAACAGAAAAAAAGCAAAAGTTATTCAATTTGAACTGTGTGACACTTTGGGATTGGCATAAGGCGAATTGGGGTTGGATCCTAGCAGAGCCCACACCCTTGGTGCGAATGATTTTGGTTATGGCGCGAATCAATGTGTACATGGACAAAGTCAAGGGAATGTGCAATGCCAAGTTGTGCAATTCTCTGATGTTTAAGTAAAAGTAGGTTGATATGTACATGGACACTGAGTTTGTGCAATTTCTTTGACTTGTTATTTTCAAGTTGGCGATTTTGAGAAACATTCGAAGCAGTGCGCATTTTCCCAGTTTGTTGCCAAGGATGTGGGCTCTCCTAGGATTTTACCCAAATTGGTACTTGCATGTTATCACAACCACCTTTATCACCAAATTTTCAGAATGTGCCGAACATTGGGAACTATTCGTTAGGCAACGTACTTGTAACAGTCTTTCAGTCAAGTGATGTCCCTATTTTCATATATTCTTTTTATTGTATTCCAAGTTCCAGTGGTTTTATATACAAATCAGGATATTTTTTGTCTTCAGCATAATTTTAAAATATGCGTTTGTAAAATTTGCCAGCAGTCGAAGCAACTGCAGTAGAATTTCTGCAGGAGTATGGTATTTTGCCATTAAATCTTTGAACAGAACAATTGGGAGATATGTTTGGTAGGTAGTTGGTGCTGCTGAGATTTAAGCAATGCCTAGTCTTTGCATTCTGTAATTTTTTTTATAAGTGCATTTTTTTAAGGTGTCTAAGCCTTATTTAATAATTAAAATTTGTATTTCATTTGAAGTTTGTTTTCTTTTCATATGTTCATAATGTTTGCTAACGATAAATATCAGTAGTTTAGGAATCTCTTTTAAATCTAGAAAAAGATTCAACTTGCACTCAGTGGAAAAAGTCACCAAATTTCACCCAGGTTATATACTAATTAATTACACTTACTGTATTGCATTAATATGCAAGTACTGATAAATTTTATCTAAATTGATCACAAATCTTTAAAAAAACGATTTTCTAACCAAGGGTTTGAGTCCGAAATTCCAAATTTTCTAAAACTTGTGAGAGAAAGAGGTATTTTCATTATTATAGTATCAAAATGTCCTGTTTTCTTTATGCTTGGATTCTTTTTCTTTTAATATGTTGCCATATAATGCCATGGACATATTATGAGATGTATATATGTATACTTATTTACAGGCATTGCAAAAAATATTGTAGGACATATTACCTGGTTAGCTAGAGCAGTGGTTGTCAGCCTGTTTTGCCAAATGCACCTCATTCATTATTGCTAGAATATCCCCCCCTCCCTAACCTTTCCAAAACTAAAAAATTATATTAAAATTATTAAAATTACACTGGTATGCAAAAATTGAGGACAAAGTCGAAAAATTAGCATATCAGCTGAACGAAGAGGCAGAGCGGACAGAAAGACCAATCAGGAGATTAAGTAAGGGGATGTATGGTATCACATGCGCAGATATGCAGGTAGACTTAATGGGGGAGTGTCTGAGTAGTATAAAGCATTTGTCGGTGTAGATCAGTATTTCTGGCAAAGAGATTGCATGCCGTATAGCATTAAAATCACACCCGTTTGCTGCCTCACGAGAATGGCGAATAATCAATCTGTTTGACTACATCTGGATGCTTTTATTTATTTACCCAATTTCGATCATTGGGAGTTGGAGGAAGGTCGCAGTGTGACAAATGTGGCTGCAGAGTTCGGAATTGCTCACAGCATCGTTTCACGACTTTGGAGACAATTTCAAACTACAGGAACAGCTATCCGGGGGTTTTAATAGTGGTCGTCCACGAGGACCACACCCCGCAGATGACCGGTATTTCCGTACAGGCCAAAGAACAGGCACCAGACGCGGGAAAATCCCTAGACAACACACACACGGCGACTGGACGACCCTATATCGCGTTTTAACCGGGCCAGAAGACTGCACGGTGGTGGTCTGTTTGCACGACGCCCTGTACGGTGTGTACCTCTAACGCCTGCCCATCGGAGAAGGCATTCCTCTGTGTGCCGAACACCGGAATTGGAAGACAATGAATGGGGACGAGTACTCTTTACAGATGAGAGCAATTCAGTGAGTAGCGATTCTCATCGCATACTCATCTGGAGAAGCGGGGAAGGCAATCATCCCTCGAACACATTGAAGGGACAGGTATGGAGGTGGTGTGTTCTCGTTTGGGGAGGCATCATGCTTGGTAGTCGTACAGCCCTTCAACCTTCGATGCAGTTCACCAACGGGACCTTATTGTAACAAATCTTCTTCTATATGTGCGTCTTTTTAGAGGCGCTATGGTCCGCAGTTCCTTTTCATGGACGACAATGCACTATGTCATCGCACAGTAGCTGCCGAACAGCTCTTAGAGAGTGAGGATATTGAACATATGGATTGGCCGACACGTCCTCCGGATCTCAATCCCATCGAGCATGTTTTTCTTTTCTAGGCAGAACGCTTTGCACTCATACCTTACCACCATAATGATTCCGGAGCTTCGAGTGGCGCAGCAATTCCTCAACAACTCATTGACACCCTCATTCTCGCGCCTGAGCAGACGCTGTGAAATCTGCCTAGCAGTCAGGAAATCATATCCCCTATTAAAGACCAGATGTTTCTTGCTGGACACTCATCACAGGGAGTTTCGGCCCTTCATTTTTCGCATGCCCCATGCTACTTTTTCAAAAAGCTTCTTTTTATCCCTCGATTTCTTTTAGTAGTGTTGCTTACATCTCATGTCCTTACGTATTGGGGGGGATCTTACAGTATTAATGTGTTTGATTTGGAAAGCTTTTGTACAAAGTTATATTGTAAAAACCATCTTGTCCTTAATTTTTGCACACCAGTGTATATTACACTTATTCAGATTTAAGTTATTTTAACATGTTTTATAAATTAAACAAAAAGTATATTAAATGTTTATGATCACCAAAACTTGAATAGAAGTTATTTCTTTTACTCATAAATTAAGACTAAATATTTAACAGCTAAATAAAAGGCTGACTGCATTCTACCCCTGAAACTATGAAATTTCCCCAAAGGGAGAATTAACCCCTGAGCTGGAAGATCAAGTAATATACAAAAAGATTTAAAGTAAGCTGCAAAATATGATAAATTGTAATGAATTATCATTTCCATGTGTTAAAAGATTTTCATACTGATATTAGTGAATTTTATATGTGCATGGTAGACATTATTGCACATTTTAATTGCTGCTGGCAGGAAAGTCTGCCAGATGAGTGGGCTGCGGCCAGAACACAATTTATAAGTTCTGTGTACACATGAAAAGAAAATGCATAAAAACATTTCAGTATGAATAAAATCTGCTCATTCTTTCCTACCAACAACCAATTTGTAAATAATATTTTGTTGCCAAACCAGGAAACAGAAACTTTTAATATTTCAGCTTAATATGTATAACATCACGATTTAAATTTAATGTAATATAACATTTTTTTTTCAATATGAATAAAAGAATTAACATGGCAATAAATATCGTATCAATTATCCTAACCTGAAACAAAAAAGTTGCCAACAGCAGCTATTTATTTAAAATGCCGACATTAATGAAAAATTTTTGACATACAATAACGTCACATGCAATTGCCTGCTTTCTTTGACGTCAGAATATGACCATCTATACTAATACAGTTAAAAGTCTTTAATCAGGACTCGTCGGGACAGACTGGCATGTATGTGAGTGCAGTAAACTAATGGAGGCAAAATATATTAGATGCTTCTTATTCTTTTTCTAACATAGTAGGCCTTGCCTCTGTGATTATTTCTTTACAGTACCATCATCACTGCCCTTCTCTTTGTCTTCTAATGAACTTCTGTTTTTTCAGTTTTGGAAGGAGAAACTATAGCATAGTGTTATTTTTATGGATTATGCAATTATGTCATTTCTTTTTTAATTATTTTTTT